TGGGATGGCAGCAGCAGTGACGGCTGAACTTGAGGATTGATGTGAGATCGCATTTCGGGGGGTGAGAGGAAGTCAACAGAGGCAAGACTGAGAACTTTGTTGAACAATTGGGTGGAAAGCCATTATTGGTAGGATTGAGAACTTCTTTGGAGAATTGAGGGAGGGAAGCCAATATTGTCAGGACAGGAACGCTGGGAGGCTTGAGGCTGAGGTGCCTGCATGCACATTTTAGGAGCTATCTTGACTATATTCTATTATCAATCTGAATTATAACCTTTTGATTTCTCCAATAAGGTTCTGTGTGGTCTGTGAGCTGTCATATCAGATTTTGGACCCAGCAAAGCAGTAAGATAGATGTTGAGATTAGTAGTAAGAGAGGCATGGGAGTGTGAAGTGCATGTCTGACTTCATGTTGTTGTTAGGTGTCATGAGGTTGAGTATGACTCATACCAATTCTATGAACAAAATATCTGTATCCTGTGCCATCTTCACACTTCCTGACATACAAGAGCCCATTGTAGCAGTCACCATGTCAATCTACTTGGTTGAGGGTCTTCTTCTTTGCCAACCCTTCACCCTTCCAAGCATCATGTCTTTCTCCAAGGAATATCACATCCTAGCAACAAGCCCAAAGTATGTGAGGCCTTATCATTCTTGCCCCCAAAGAGCACTCAGGCTGCACCCTCTCCAAGAGATATGTTTGTCCAGTGCTTTTCTCCAACATCACAGCTCAGAAGTGTCAATTCTTTTCCCATCATCCTTATTCATTGTCCCACTCTTAGATGCATAGCAAGTAACCAGAAAGACTATAGGCTGAATCAGGCACACTTAATCCTCAAACTGACATTACTGCCCAATAATCTGGAGAGGTCCCTAACTGTAGATTTTCCCAGTGCAATGCATCTCCTTACTTCCTGACTGCTTGTAACAAAAAGGTCTGTCTTGGAGAGGGTGAAACCAAGTTTCTCCTTGGAGGTTAGGATTTGGAAGCTCCATCTCACATCTCATCCAAACAAGATGAAGCTGTTAACGGTTTCAATCTCCTCTCCATTCACAATGACACTGTCTTATTGGTCCAGTGGTAAAAATCTTTTTTTTTCTTCTTGACAATGAGATGCAATCCATAATGAAGGCTGCATTCCTTGATCTTTTTGCAACAAGTGCTTGATGAGTCTCCCTCCAATCCTCAAGCCACACTCCTCCTCATAGAGTCCAGCTTCTCGAATAATTTGCTCAGCAAACAGATGGAATAAGTGTGGAGAGAGAATATAACCCTGTTGCACTCCCTTCCCAATTCCAAACCATGCAGTGCTCCCTTGCTTCATTTGTACAACAGCTTCCTAGTCCAGGTATAGGTTCTGCATGAGCATAGTCAAGTGCTTTGGGATTCTCAATGTCAGCCACAACTTGTGATCCAAACAGTTAAATGCCTTTGCATAGTCAATAAAGCACAAATAGACATGCATCTTCTATTCTTTACTTTCAGTCAGGATCCATATGACATCAGCAATGATATCCCTGGTGCCATGGCCTCTTCTAAATCCTGCTTGAACTTCTGACAGTTCTATCTATGTACAGTTCCAGCTGTTTTTGAATGATCTTCAGCAGTATCTTACCTCATGGGAATTGGTTTTGTGTTATCCATGCTGTGGGTGGGGATAGTTTCACTTTGTGAAGTTGATTAAGGTCAAATATGGCACTCTTCATGTGACCCTTGCTCTTGAAAGAATATTTTAAATATCTTCAAATTATTATTGTTTTATTTTTGCCTTATTCCTCCACTTAAAGTGCATCTTGGTGATTGCTCTCTATTAGTATTGTGTTTCCTTTAAAACACACTAACAAATAATAACTATGGTTATTTTTGGACGCTTTGGCAGCCTAGAAGGTAAGGAGCTGTGTTGCCAACCCTGTTAGATAGAAAAAGAGCAGGAAAAAAATGAGAGAGAGGAGAGAGGAGGAAGAAGAGTGGAGAGAGATGAGAGGACGGGGGGGGGGGTGGGGTGGGGGTGGGGGTTGGGTAGAGAGAAACTGTCCCAAGAAATGAATAAGTGTTCTGAGAGGGATGCCAGGTGATTGCTCACAGAGGAGATCTGATCTGAATGGTGTGCAGTCAGACAAAAACAGTTTTTTATATAATAGAGCTATTAAAGAGATTGAGAGGGGAGGGTAATTTGCTTAGGATGTTGGGGGCAAGGGTCTTGTCAGGATGTAATCAGGCCCAAGGTCTTTTTAGGATCTGCTCAAATTATCAGAATATAATCAGACCTTCTCATTGTCAGACCTGGGGTTAAATATTTGGAGAAGGTGGGGAAGTGCCACATTCTTCTTCCAAACCTCTATGAGGAAAAATGGGCAATCTCCTTCCATGTGACTTATAGCCTCTGAAAACCCACTGGAGAGTCCATTATAAATTAATTTCAATTCCAAGGTGACTTCCTAGTACCTTAATAGACTAGACTCTCTCTCTCTATTTTTAGACATCCTCAGTGAGGTGGATTTACAGTTAGAGCTTGTTCCTCAGAGGGTAAGTCCCTCAAGGCTCTTGCTCATAGATAGGCAAAAAAACTGACCCAGACACCAACTAAAAGACATTATTTTATTGACATAGGAAGCTTACTGACCAGGAGGAACATGCAGCTACACACAGTTCTGGTGGTGCAGATGGAGGGAAGCAACTAAGTATTTTATACCCCTACACAAATAATATACAATATGTAGCAAAACCAAGAATTTCACAAACTGATGGGAAAATATTAGTAATACACAAACTTAGCTTAAGGGAAATAAAACAACTGCCACTTATTTGCTTAATAAGGCGGAGCAGTCATTTTGCACTCATTCTGGGAAGAAACCAGAAATACAAGGCTAATGGAGACTTACGTTTTCTAATAATATTGTCATCGTCTTCCCATGCCCTTGCTTTTCCTCTCAACTGCAAGCTCTAACAAAGTCTTGATAACACACTGAGATTTTTTTTTCCAAGCAGAGAATATGAAGTCAAAACCAAAGGGTAGTCGATTTTCCATTGCCTTCTACTCTGTTCAATTCTTTGTCTCAGCAAGGGGACCAAACCAAGGAATTCACTGCATAGTAAAAAAGCATTACAGAGATCATGGGTCTGTTGCAAAACGAGAATGAGGAAGATTCTGTAATCTATAGTCAACTCCAACACCTATCAACTTTCATTTCAGTAGCTGCATGTGTGTGTGTGTGTATGAATGCTTATGCAGCTACTTCTAATTTAAATCTGAACTACTGGTTACTCTTTCATTTAAAAATTAAATTGAGCTCCACTGCAAGTGCATCCAGGATGCTCTATAGAAGCATGTAAGGCGAAACTTAGTCTCACATCCTCATCATGCCTGGAAAGGTCAGAGGGTCAGCGAGAAGAAAGCAGTTTGGATCCACCAGCTGCTCCACAGAAGAAAGATGAGAAATTTCTTCTCACAGAATTTATAGCCTGGCTCAGTTCTGAGTTTGTTATACCTGGAAGGCATTCTTGTTGCGTGGAGTGAGACAAGGCTGTGCCGGGCAGCGCCGTCCGTCCGTCGTGGACCCAACGCGGGCCCTCTTCCTGACTCCAGGCTGACCTGGAGTCCAGGAGCTCCAGCAGCCCGCCCAGGTAACACCGGAGCCCCTGCATGGTCAGGTCTGGCGGTGGGAACCTCCCCCGCAGGCAACGCTCAGCACCTCGTAGACCACTTTCTGGGATGGCCGAGCCAAGCTCACCCTCAATAGGCGGAAAATCAGAACAAGAACCGAGGGTACTGACAGGATGCATTCACTAGGAAAGCCTAGGTATTTGGGGGGCAGCTACAATTTAAACAGCAGAAAGAGCAAGAGGCCAGCTCTATGAAAGTGAGACTTAAAAGTGGCGTCTGCTCTTTTTTTTTAAAATTTTTTTAAATTATTTTTTATTATTTTGTGTGCGTGTACCGTCAAATCAGATCTGACTGCTACAGGAGGAGATTGCCCCTCCTTCCCCGGCAGAGCATCTGGTGGATTCGTCTGCTCAACCTCTGTGATTGTAGTTGCAGCTTCTTGCCACTAGGCCACCAGAGCTCCCCTTATTTATTTTTTAAATATTTATTTTATTTTATTATTTTTTTGTGTGTGTGTACCGTCAAATCAGATCTGACTGCTACAGGAGGAGATTGCCCCTCCTTCCCCGGCAGAGCATCTGGTGGATGCGTCTGCTCTTTAAATTTAGGGTGCGCGGGAAGCAACACCAACAGCCATAGGTGGGCGGGGCTATAGCAAGACTACCAGCATCCTCCTTCTCCAGACCCGCCCCTCGAAGACTGTTCAACACTCTCTTAGACCCGACTCCGACGGTCTGACTCAGCCAACAACGCAGGGAGTGGGCGGGGCCTTTGGCCGGGGCCTACGTCGCGCGCTTCCTTAAACTTTCGAACGCAGTTGGCTCTGGAGCAGAAGAAATCTAAGAACGGCAGCCAATAGCATTGCAGAAAGGACCCGCGCGCAGGACCACCTTCGTCCCGCTGTGCTGCAAAGAAGTCCAGGCCCGACCATTGGTTTACGCCACTTGTCAATCGCAGCGGCGGCCAGCCAGCAGGGGCCTCGCGGTGATAGGTTCCGCCCAGGCGCGAAATGTAACGCGGGAAAAGCCGGAGCTGGGACTGCAGCGGCAGGTTGTTATTTGCGGATATCAGCCCTGCGCTTCCTGCTTTCCCGTCACCGTCAAGGCCCGGCCACCGGTAGTTTTTCTTCTTTGCAGCCGGAGATACAGAGTCTAAAGAGCGGAGGGCGGGCTTTCCCGGGGGCCGGGGTCCAGCCCTGTCCGCTCTCTGCCGTCCGCGGCGCACCGCTGAACTTCTTTGGTGGCCACTACGCAAGATTCCGGTCAACGTCCGCCAGCCATGAGCCCGCGGGACTGAAAGCCAGACTCAGAGCAGTGCAGAATTGGGGAGCAGTGGCCAAATCTGGACTCTGGGAGTGCTGCCTCGTGCTAGCAGAGCTGCTATCAGGGTCGTGCGATGATCCGGGGCGAGGAATCGGCGATGGCGGACAGTTCGCCGCAACGGCCGCCTGTCGTCTTCTGCCACGACTCCCCAAAGCGAGTGTTAGTGTCGGTCATCAGGACGACCCCGATCAAGTTGTGTTGCAGTGGAGGAGAGCCAGAACCACCGCCACCGCTCATCCCCACCAGCCCCGGCTTCAGCGACTTCATGGTGTACCCGTGGCGCTGGGGCGAGAATGCACATAACGTGACGCTCAGCCCCGGAGCTTCGGGGGGCGCTGCTTTGGCCACCTCCTTGGCCGCCGCCACCGAGCACCCTGGTCTTCGGGGTCGGAGCGCGCCCCCACCCACTGCCTTGGGGGGCGAGGAGGAGGAAGAAGCTAGCAGTCTTGACAGTGGCCACCTCAAGGTGACTAGGGCGGGGACGGGGACGGGCCTCCGCGCGGGGCAGCGAGGGCCCGTTAACGGCACGGCCCAGAGGCGAAGCTCCTCAGACACTGCGGGAGGGGCGGGGCCGAGTTTAAAACCGGAGGACGCTTTGGCTGCTGGAGCAGGAGGTGGCGGCAGACGGTAGTGACATCACTACCGCGCGCCAAAACCGCCCTCGCGTGTGTCGGAGCGTGTTCCTGGTCTCCCGACCGGGCAGGACGCAGTCTTGGTGGGAGGTCCAGAAGAGGACTCAAGTTCAAAGGCCACTGGAAGCCTTTCGGTAAAACAGTGATCAAGGAAGGAAAGGGCCGCAGACCTTGAGCCGTCTCGCTAGGTGTAGGAGGGAGAGAATGCTGTCCAATTTGTGCTCCATCATAGTACATTCTTGCTGGAATATGCTTTTCGGAGAGCAACTGAGCTGGAAGGGACGTAAGGGAATTTTCCCAGCACGAGTGCAACATTCTTATCATTCAAGAATGCGCTGCTTACTTGTTAGGTCCTGAGGAAACACAGCTGAATGAGACCGTTTAGTGCTGAGTTGGTTGTGATCACCTGATGCCAACCTATGTTTTGCATATCTGGTCACAGAGGCTTAGAAGGATTGGTGAAGGGATCACACAACTAGCTAAAACTAGGAAAGTGCAATGATCCGTGTCGTTTTGGCTTCTCTTCCCACATTAATGATCCCAAGGGGATGGTGACAGCAGGGTTAAGTGCTAACCACGGAAAAAAGACCCGGGAATCTGTTTTTATAAAGATTGAAACCTAGACAACTCTGTTGGGGAGTTCTATTTTGTCACTTAAGGTCTGTAGGATAGAAAATTGATTCTTCAAGTTGACTGTGCTGATTAACCTCTATTGACTAAGCTCAGTGAGATGCAGGGCCATTTTATTTTTGTAGTAGACGGTTTGACTTTTTTTGTAAATGCATAGTGCTTATTATTTCTACATTATTGCTCAGCAGTATTCCCATACATCTCAACATCAAGAAAACAAAAATCATCATCACCACTGGGCCAACAGACAAGTAAAGGTTGAAGTCGTCAATGATTTAATTTTATTTGGATCCAAAATCAGTACCCATGGTAGCAGTAACTAAACAAGCAAAAGATCTGTGACACTTTGAAAATCTGCTGTCAAAAGTATTAAAGAGCATGGGTATCACTTTAAAGACTTAAGATGCATCTGGGTCAACCCATGAAGGTACTTTCTGCTGCTTTCAGTATTTTTGTGAAAACTCCACAGTGAGTAAGGATGATAGAAGAATAATTAATGCCTTTGAATTATGGTGTTGACAAAGAGTGAGGGATATTTCATGGAATGCTGAAAGAGCAAACAAATATGCTTTGGGGGAAGTGTAACCAAGATGCTCCTTAACGATAAGGATTGTGAAATTTGTTCTCTAGTTAGACATGTTGTCAGGAAGGGTCAGTCTTTGCAAAAAGAGGTTATGCTGGGGAAGTTAAGGGGTCATTGAAAGAGAGGAAACCCCCTCAAAGAGATGGATTTACATTTAACAGTTACTGCAAAATTCACTTGAGCATGGTGAAGATTGTTAGAATGGTACCAGGTAGGGCAAGGTTTTAATCTGTTGTTTATAGGATTGCTACAAGTTGCAGTTAACTTGACAGCACCTGTCAACATTTGTGTAATAAATGGTGTTAATATAAAGTTATTAGCAAATTCGGTTTGAGTCTGCTAACCAAAACAACAGAAATTTGAAGTGCACATGGGATGAAAGTTGAGCCAGCCTTGGATACCTTTATAGTGTGGTCCTACTCTATTCTGTAAGATTGTTGTGGAGTCATCATGAGTCAGAATAAGTTGGCTTTTTGGTTTATACAAATTAATTTGTTAAATGAACAAATAAAAATTTACTAAAAATAATGACATGCAAATCACTTAGTAAGAGCATTAATAGGGGCAAATAATATTTCTAAAATGTTTTTAAAAAGTTAAGGTGATCCTAAGTCTCTGTAAACTTTTCATTAAAATTAATAAAAAAGAAAAAAAAGTGATCCTTTTCCATGTAGCAAAGGTGTTGAAACTTATTTGGACTGTGAGGATACACTTAGTAACTAATGTTTTTGTTGTTGACACAGTCAACACTTCAAGCCTGTAAAAATTAAAAGAAGAAATGCTTGTAACATTTGGTGAATTGAAGGAAATGATAACTGTTAGCTAGATGTGGGATAGCCTTTATTAAGAAAGGTGGCCATCCTGGATGTTTTTCTGTCTTAACATAATTGTTAATTTTTAGTTTTGAAAAATGCATTGGATTTATTGTTACACATATATACACAAGTTCTTATAAAAGATTCTGCATTTATGATTTGAGTCTTAGTTGTTACTTAATATAACGTCGTACCCTCAAGATTAATAGCATGGTGTTGTTAGGTGGTATTCAATTGATTTCAATTCATAATAGCCCCAGAGTATAATTACATCATGGAATGCTTGAGGTTGTGGTTTTACAGATCAAGTCTTTTGCCCATAAAGTGCAAGGTAGGTTCAAGCCAAAAGGTAGAGTCTTTTTGGTCTAAATTTGCACTTTACTTTATGCAGATCTTTTACAGAAGTTGCTAGCAAATACAGGCTTGAATTTTATTTTCATTTTTGACATTTTTTATCCACTCAGTGGAGGATTTTTATTTGCTCTTTTATAGCATAAATAAGACACAAATAGACATTCTTCTATTTCTGCTTTCAAGCAGGATCCATCTGATGTTAGCAGTGATATACCTGATACCATTACCTCCTCTAAACACAAATTGAACTTCTGACATTCCTCTGGCAATATACTGTTCTAGCTGGTTTTTTCTTGCATGTGATATTAATGATTTTGTTTGAAAACTTCTATGTATTGTTGAATCACTCTTCTTGGGAAGGGGAACAGATAAATAGATCTTTTCCAGCCAGTCAGCCAGGCAACTGTCCAAATTTTCTAGCATAAACTGGTGAGCATATCCCTGGCTTCATCTGTTTCTTGAAACATGTCAGTTGGTATCCCATTGATTCCTGCAGCCTTATTTAACAAATTATGGCTAACACTGAGAAGAAGGGGAATCCCAGAACACTTGATGATGCTCTTATGACACCTGTACCTAGACCAAGAAGGTGTTGTCCAAACAGATCAAGGGAACACTGCATAATTTAAAATTAGGAAAGATGTACATCGGGAGTAGTATTCTTTTCCCCTACCTATTTAACCTAGACTCAGGAAGAATGTGACATCAGGCTTAGAGCAAGACTCATCAATAACCTGTATTATACAGATGCCACAATCTTGCTTGCCCAAAGCGAGGGGAACTTGAAGCACTTACTGCAGAATATCAAAGATGGCAGCCTTCAAATATGGATTGCATCTCAGCTTCAAGTTGATGATAAAAAATCCTCACCCCTGGACCAATAGGCAATGACAATATCGTGGTAGATGGAGAAAAGGTTGAAATTTATCTCTCCTTACTTGGATCCAAAATCAACAGCCTTCATACTAGCAGTCAAGAAATCAGGTGCCATTTTGTATTGGCCAAGTCCACTGTTAGGGACTTAATCCAAATTACTGAAGAACAGTGATGTCAGTTTGAAGTCTGTGTTCCTGATTCAAACCATGGTCTATCCAGTAACTTGCTATGCATCTGTGAGCTAGACAATGAATAAGGATGACAGAAGAAAAATTGATGCTTTTGGATTACAATGTTAGGGAAGAGAACTGAGTATCCAGTGGACTGTCAAAAGAACAAATGTCTTGGAGAAAGTGCAGCCAGAGTGTTCTCTGGAGGCAAGGATGGTGAAATTTTGTCTCACATACTTTGAGCATGTTAGGAGACGCTGTTCTTTGGAAAGGGACATCATACTTGGAAAGGTGGAGGGTAGGTTAAAGAGAGGAAGACCTTCAACCAAATGAATTGACACAATGACTGCAGCAATGGGCTCTAGTGTGCCAGAGATGTTGAGAATGGCACAGGTCAGGACAGGATTGACATCTGTTCATAGGATTGGTATGAGTTGTTATTCAACTGAACAGCACCTAACATTAACAACAACTTTTATAGCACATCTAGCTTTAACAGTTATTTACTTTTTAAGATGAACGTTCTGGAATATATTTTTATTTGAAGAACTTTCCTAGTTTGATTTTTAGTCAGTATTCTGATTAGAGGTACAGACTGCCAGCTCCTTTTATTTTGTTTCCAAGAAAGCTGGAGAAAGACCACCTGGCCAACTGACTAGAAGAGATCCATATTTGTTCCCATTCCAAATAAAGGTGACCTGACAAGAGTGCGGAAATTATTGAACAACATTATTAATAGCATAAGCAAGCAATATTCTGTTGAAAATTATCCAAAACTGACTGGAACAGCAAATCAACAGAGAACTGCCAGATGGGAGTTTAGAGGCAGTGTCGCTAGAGACAATGTAGTCAATGCTGGATGGATCTTGGTTGAAAGCAAGAGAGTTACCAGAGGAAAGTCTATGTGTATTTCATTGACTATACAAAGGCATTTGATTGTGGATCACAACAAACTGGCTAACTCTGAGAATAGGGATCCCAGAACATTTGGTTGTGCTTATGCGAAACTTATACTTGGATCAGAAGGCAGTTGTCAGAACAGAACAAGGAAACACTGCATGGTTCAAAATTGGGAAGGATGTATGCCAGGGATTTGTCCTGTCTCCATACCTTTTCAATTTACATGCAGAACAGATTCTCCAGGAGGCTGGGCTCTATGAGGAGAAATGTGGCATCAGGATTGGAGGAGAACTCATCAAAAACCTGTGTTATACAGATGACACAACCTTGCTTGCTGAAACTGAGCACCAGAAGCGCTTGTTGCAGAAGGTCAAGAACTGTAGCCTTCAATATGAATTGAAGTTAAACATCAAGAAAACAAAGATTCTCACCACTGGGCCAATTGGCAGCATCATGATAGATGGTGAAGAGATTGAGATTGTTAACGGCTTCAGCTCAGTTGGCTC